TCTCATCTTTTTCTCTGGCAGATTTAAGATTTTTCACTTCATTGATTTTGAATGTTTAAATCATGATATCCTTTGGTGGTGTTCTATTTGTATGTATTTTATTTTGGGTTCATTAAACTTCTTGAATCTATGAATTTATATTTTTTATTTAATTTGAAAAATTTTCAGCCATTATTTCTTCAAACATGTTTTGTTTGAAAGAGTCACCTCTTGACTCTTTCCTCTTCTTTTAGTCCTCCAATTAAATGTAGGATAGGCCACCTAGGGTTTCCTCTGAGGTTCTTGTTGTTTTTTTTCATCCTTTTTGCCCTTATGTGTTTGTGTAGTATCTAGCATTCACTGATCATTTCTTTTGTGATTTCTAATCTGCAGCATTTTTAATTTCAGAATAGTATTTTTTAGTTTTTGAATTTCCATTTCTCCATTGAAATGTCTCTATTAATATTTTCTAGTTGCTGTTCACAATGGTCATGATCTTTTTTAATCCAACAAACTCATTTATAATATCCATTTTGAAGTACTTATCTGGTAATTGCATTGTCTTTGTAAAGACAATGCAATTGATCCTGTTTTATTTTGATCCTGTTTATATTGATCCTTTGATCCTGTTTATATTGACTGATTTTTTATTCATATTTTTTATTTTGATCATATTTTTTATTATTCTTCTGTCTAGCATTGTTAAGATCATATGCCAGATATTATGGGTGTTACATCATTAAATGTATGGATTTTATAAGAGAGAATTAGTTTTGTCCCAGCAGGTAGTTAATTTATTTGCATAGCTGCTTGCTTTTTTTTTTTTCTTTGAAGCATCCTACTTATCTTTGTTAGAATAAGTCTAAAATGGCCTTTTCTGTAGAGCTAAATTGGACCTACTATCCAGGATCTCTCCTTAATACTTGGGGAGCTCAACAAAGTCTCTTCAGTTTGAGTGTTCTCAACTCAGCTGTCTCCCAGCCCTGCATGTGCTCCTAGAGCTGTTCCCTTCCCAGCTGTTCTTTGCCTGACCTTGTGAAGTATCACCTTCAATATGTACGTATTTGGCCAAATTTGAGGTAACCCATGCAGATTTCTAGAATTCCTTTATTACACAGTTCTCTTCTCTCAGATACCCAGGCTTATAAATTCAATCTAACTCCATTGTCTTGAACTCTAATTTCTGTCTCCTTAACTCAGTGCAAACACTGTCTTCTTTTGGCCTTTCCCTTTCTGTTCCACAGTTGAAAAAGTGCCTTCAGTCAAAAAATCAGAGTGACTGTGGGGTTTACTTTTTTGTGTCTTTTCTATCACAAATCACATCCCTGTGCTATCAATCATCCAATTTTGAAAAACTCTTATTTTAGATATGGAGAATAGGGTAGTCTAGTATCCAATACTCCTCTAAAAACAGAAGCTGAAGTCCAAAATGAACACGTTTTAACACACTTTAATAGCCAAACCCATCAAGTCTGCAGATCAATCTGGTCATAGGTTTACCATCATTTAAATAAAGCATTCTTTTCATTTGCAGTTCAGGAAAATAGTCATTACCACAGTTCCAAAAAGTTTCAAAAAGTCTCAATGATTTAGCACAGAGTAGCCATGTACTCTTTGGCAGAGAACACTTGAAAGTCTAAGCAGCCAGCATTTGGTTGGGACACTGAATGAAATGCAAGATTCCAATTATCATAATGAAGATGAGGGAAATATCTTAGATTTCCTAGGAGAAATGTGGTTGCAGAACCAGAACTTGAAACAGGGAAAATGATTAGCACTGAGATGTTGAACCACTTTAATCAGGGTGGTTAGCTGGAAATTTGGACTTTGGGGCCAGTTAGTACCCTAGAACTGCAAAAAAAGTGGAAAATTTTCTGATTTAGGGAGTAAAAACAAGCAAATAGCTCAGTCTGTCTATATCTTGAATCAGATTATTAATGAAATCAATGAGAGAAGTTTAGGAGCCCAGTTTGGTCAAATTGCATTACGCCTTCTTGATTAGAAACCCTTTGGTTTGGGATTACATCAGAGTAAAATCTTCACTCCAAAATGCCAGAAATTCTAGCTTGGCAGATAACAAATGTAGGCTGAGGGTCACCATTTCCCTGTAAGCCACCACTGCTTTACGTGACAGCCTTGTAGAGCACTTCCTGAATGTGACTCCAGCCGTCTAGAAAATCTGGCTGGTGGATTATTTATCTTAAGAATCCATTTAGTTAAGTAGCATTAGAGACTCCTTGTCATCAAGAGGGCTACACAAAATACACTCTATAAATATGACACATGTGACTATATGACACAAAACAGAATTAAGAAGCCCTATTAGAAATAAAATGGACAGTAGTAAAATGAATGTGGCAGAAGTAAATTTATGAGGGTAACTGATCTCTTTGTCATTAAGCAAGATCTCTATTTTTAAAAAAATCCTCCTGGGTAAGTGCAGCCAATGGCCACCTCCCCATTATAAAATGTTCATCCAGACCAAATAATGAAAATAACAGTGGGAAGTACCCCAGTATACTGCTAACATAACATGTACTAAGAAATACCAAGGACACAGTGATTTTCATGCCAGCTACCCAAATTGATCTTAGTAGATTCTCACAACTGCACTCACATAGCTTCTAGCATTTAATGGTACAGTTTTCTTATTTTAAAGCACCATTATTCACGGAACAAGTTCAAGAATATCTGATATTAATAATAATTTTGCACTGCTAAGGTCTTGGCTGTACCTGCAATAGGATGAATAGCCTGGGTTTAGGATAATAAACTTGAATCTTTACAATTTGCCCTTTAATTAGACAACTTCAGGCTCAGCTCCAGGCAGTTTACCATTTTTCCCTTAGGATAGATACCTGTTTTAAAGGTGACTTTTCTAGTAGTATATGATCAATAATTGAACGTCATGATGGTATTGTGAAAAGATTCTTGCATTTTGCAGGCTGGGAGCCTCTATAGCAATCCTAGCTTTGAATGAGATTCTCCATTCCTTGGCTCAGAAAAAATCACTTAACACCTGCAATATTCTAGATGTTCATAGAAGCCTTTCCTCCTCACCACACCTGTTATGCCTTCCCTGCCCTAGCTTCCATCACCCCTGCTCCATTACCCTGGTTTATTTCTTTTATAGCACTGATCACTATTTAAAATTAACTGGCTTATTTTTTTATTTCCTTATTTGTTGCATTGGAATATTATTAATAGCTCCAAAAGGGGAGAGACCCTTTCTGTCTTATCTGCCATTGCATTTCCAAAAGCTTTTGGCAAATGGCAGATAGCAATAAATAATCATTTTAATACATAATCTCCTTGAGATCCAATAAATACACTGTTCCTCCTTCAAACTCTTTAGCTTCATTATTATAAGCTAATAAACCAACCAAAGAAGGTTGCTGATATATAGTATAGTATTAGATTTATTTTAAATATCACAGAAGTGCAAAGTGCTATATATGAAAGTATTCATTGAGACACTAGGTGTTCTAGGGGTAGGGTGAATGAAAAACACATAATCTCTACCTGGAAGATTATAAATATATAGTTTAGTGGGAGTAGGAAGAAGTAGAGAAGCAGATCTGTAGACAAATTACAATATAATAAAAATATTCTATGAAGATAAGAAACAAAGGAAAGAGTGAGAATTTCTAACCAGTACATCTCATGCTGCAAGAAGGGTTTTATTCCACAAAAGGTTAAGCAAAATAATGATATTTGAACATGGATTTGAAAACTAAAAATGCAAAAGTACTTCCAGGCAGAAGTCACAGCATGAGCAAAAGGCATGACATTAAATGTTCCTGAAGTTTTTGAGAAGAGGGCAATGGTAAATGAGGCAGGGTGGTGGTTAGTGATTTGGTTGTGACAGACTTGGTTACAGAGGTAATGAGTTAATATTTGTTGCTTTGTTTTGTTTTTGAGATAGAGTCTCACTTTGTTGCCCAGGCTAGAGTACCATGGCATGGCATCAGCCTAACTCACAACAACCTCGAACTCCTGGGCTCAAGTTATCCTCCTGCCTGAGCCTCCTGAGTAGCTGGGACTACAGGCATGCACCACCATGCCCGGCTAATATTTTTCTACATATTTTTAGTTGTCCAGCTAATTTCTATTTTTTTAGTAGTGACAGGTTCTTACTCTTGCTCAGGCTAGTCTCGAACTCCTGAGCTCAAACGATCCGCCCACCTCGGCCTCCCAGAATGCTAGGATTACAGGCATGAGCCACAGTGCCCAGCCAATATTTGTTTTTTATGCAATTGAGAATTACCTCACTATATTTCTGATTGTTCCAAAGAAACTGACAAGCTGCCTATAATGTAAACAACCGATAAAGGAGAAATCTGCCCATATCTAGATGTTGCAAGTCAGTCTTTGGAATGTGTACCCTAGAACTGTGGACAGGGGGAGATACTTTCAAGCTAAGCATACTGAGCATTTGGTGGATGCCTTCTGTTTCTGCCAAATGAAAATATAGATTTTGAGGCCTATTTCCAAATATAAGGGAAAGGGAATTAAATTCAAGAGAATGACAAGAGAATGAAACTAAAACTAATGAAAATGTGTTATGATTTTTACAAAAAAGCAGCACCAACAATTAAAATTCTACCAATATCCCAGGGTTCTCCTGGTAGCAGTGAGTACCCCATCCCAAGGTATAGATGGAGGATGAAATGACACTTTTCCAAAATACTCTTGATAAGATTCATGTATCAAATTGTGACTTGAATTAGATGACCTTCTAACTCCTTCCCAAATTAAGGTTCTGTTTTGATTTGTATGTCATCAAAAATTATTAAAATAAAAATACCTTCTATGTCAGGTGCTGGAAACAAAAGGATAAATATGACACAGTCTAGTATTTAAAAAATAGTACTGAAATTCTACAGTGTTATCTCTGCTTATTCACACATGTAAGGCAAGTTCATGGCAAAGCTGCCTGGCTTATGCAACTATTTGTAGGATGGTAGGTCACTGTGTTCACCGCACAGAAATCAATTTTGTTTCTTTGTTGTTCACTCCAGTGGTAGCTCCAAGATACACAGTGGAACTGGCATGTGGTTTTGGAGCCACAGTCTTGCTAGTGGTGATTCTCATTGTTGTTTACCACGTTTATTGGCTAGAGATGGTCCTATTTTACCGGGCTCATTTTGGAACAGATGAAACCATTTTGGGTAAGTAACAGAAGTTTAATGTAAACCTCTTCTGTCATCTTTAGAAAACATGTTGGGGAAAAACAGAAAAGAAAAGAAAATATGGTGACTTGATAAGACCTAGATTAACTGGGAGATTTAAGCAGATAACCTTTTATTTCAGCACCTACTATTAAAAATCTGTCCAATGTGTATGTATTATTCTCCTTTCTTAGATTAATATGTCATTTTTTATAAACTAGCACTGTCTAGATAGAATTATAATTCAAGCTACTTATATAACTTAAAAAATTCTAAGCCCACATTAGAAAAAGTAACAAGAAATAAGTAAAAATAATGATTCAACTAAATATATTCATGATACTATCATTTTAGCATGTAATTAATATTACAAAATTAATGAGATATTTTGTGGTCTTTTTTTGGTACTAAAAATCTTCAAAATTCAAAATGTATTTTATCATTGTAGCATATGTCAACTCAGACCAGCTGCAATTCAACAGCTCAGTAGACACATGTGGTTTGCAGATGCTGTGTACAGGTCCACAGTCTTTGTACTTAAAGGGTGATCCATGAACCAGCAGCATCAGCAACACCTGGAAGCTTATCAGAAAGAGATTCTTAGACCTAACCCCTACTGAATCTGATTCTACATTTAAACACATTTCCAAGTGATTCATGTACACATTAGACATTAAGAAATACTGCTCTAGTACAAATTTGCCTGGTAAAAAGAATAGAACATTTAAACATACAAATTATTAGCCCCACCCCTAAAGATTCTAATTCAGAAGGTTTGAGAAGAGACACAGAATTTATATTTTTAACAAGAGGTGACTTTTATAATTAGGCAACTTTGGGAAAGATTGGTCCATTGAATCTAAGTATATTTTTAGTTATGGTTCCTTTCAGATATAAATAATTCAGGAAGTTTCACAAAGTTTTGCTCAGCTTATATTCTAATTAATATATTAGTGAGTGATATACTAGGACAGGAAGTTGAAATTTTATGCATGGTATTAATTGCCAGCACCTATGATTTACATCACGGTTCTGTTAACTTAGGATTGAATGGGCCAAACCTCACTCTTTCTCCACTGTAAAGATTCAACTCAGTGAGATAAGAGTAGAAGACATATCAGATAAAATTCAAAATTACACCTTCAAATAGTTATTTTGCCTAGAGACCTGTTATAAGTAGAAAATCACACTGGAATCTATCACATAATAAAATATCTAACATGCAGAAGTTTGATCTAAGAAAAAATATAATACTATTGAGAAACTTTCATAATTTCTTTTGGATCTGTGTTCCTTTTGCTAGATGGGAAGGAGTATGATATTTATGTGTCCTATGCAAGGAATGCTGAGGAAGAGGAATTTGTATTACTGACCCTCCGTGGAGTTTTGGAAAATGAATTTGGTTACAAGCTGTGCATCTTTGACCGAGACAGTCTGCCTGGGGGAAGTAGGTATTTCAGATGAGTACAAATGATGCTACCATAAAAGGCAAATGGGGCCCTTGGGTTTGAGTCATGTGTAAGAGTCATGGCACAGTTCTATACTGGCATCCTGGGATATTTAATGCCCAATTCTTTGATAAAGTAGAGACTTCTCTAGGAATGAAACTGCATTATACGATGCATACTATGCAAATCATTTTATGGTATTAAAATATTTTCCCTCATAATCTTTAAGAGCTGAATGTCAGAAAACTGTGGATACACAGTGGATTACACTTCTATTAGTGTGACACAGCTTTAAATATCAGGTTTACTTACTCACATTAAGATTTATAAGGTTTAGGTTGATCTGCATTGGTTTACCTAGAATTTATTTTTTATAAGAATGAGTATTAAAAAAAACTTTTTAAAAAAATAAAGGCTGAGGTTTACTCGGTTTTACTAAAACGAAGTTGTCAAAGAGAGTACATAGAATTTTTCCTTATATTACTCACTGATAATAATTAGAAATTATCCCTTTGGCATTTGCTCATTTCCTTTTCCTCACTTTTATTTTTAAGCAAAATATCACAACACAAATCCTCCCCTTTGGGGTCTGTTTCTTCCTTTCTATTAGCTTATACATTTGAGATTTATTTTAAGATTTTACAAAAAGCCAGTATATTCTAGTAGGTTAAAAAAAGAAAAGCTTGAATTGCTGAATGTGTTAAAATAAAAGTAAATCTCTTCTGTCTACACAGTGCCACTAAGTAATGATCCATTTGAGTCTTTTTTAATAAACACATAAGTAACATTCCTAAACCCACTGTTAAACTGCATACTGTTGAAATGTACATAATGTCTCTAATACTAAACATGACAACCTAATTTTCTTCCTGTAAAATCCTACTGACATTGATGATTTAATATTTTTAAATGTTACATGGTTAATTGAGATACATAATAGACTTAAAATTTTATTCTCATTTTAGTTTAGCTAGATCAGTTATTTTACAGCCCCAATCATCACCCAAAAGCCCATTATACTTGTGTTCTACAGAAGATATCTACTTCAGTATAACTTTTCCATGAAATGATGACTTAATTATATGTTTAAAGGATAAATTCTACCCATTTTGATACTCAGTTCCCCCAAATCATTTATTCATCCATTTATTCATTCATACAGCCATTCTATAAATACTTATCTACTGTGTGAAAAGTTATATAAAGATATACAGTATGTAACTGGGTAAGACCCTCCAATAGGAGTTGATAATTCTTTGGAGTATTCAAGCTCTACATAATTACTCTTGCATCTTACTTTGGATGGTTGGTCCTTGCATCCTTTTGTATTCTCCCTACTGCTCTTAACCAATCCTCTGACTCTGGGTCTCTTTCCATGCTTACACATGGTCAGCCTCAAGTTCATTGCTTGGAGTAGACAAATAATTATTCCTGGATTCTTCTCCAGGCTGAACTTAATTGCATATCTTTCCTTACAACTTCTGGACCTGTGAAGATTACGGTACAAAATGACTGCTTAGGGGAGTATAGCAAGCCATGCTATAGGTTTCCACAACACTAGTACATTACCTGGAGCTGGCAACTATCTGAACCCCTGGTAAAGAATTATACAATCCTCAATAAGCAACGGTGAGGAGATAGATTGATCCCAAGAATTTAGTGACAAGAACTAATCAGAACCCTTGACAGCAGAATAAAATTACATTGCATTTCCATTTCCCTGCTTTTTCTCTTTCTTTTTTTATGTGAAGCAGGCATTTGCCTGTTAGTGAAAGCAGACACATCATCCAGCAGCTGCTGAAACACATGGCTCCATATTAATGATAGGAGTTTGAGGAGAAAGATCCAGGGACTAATTTAGGCTCCAGAGCAGATAGAAGTAGGAAGATGAGCCAAGAATGTATGGCCAGCCAAAATGCCATTCAATTGGCTAGATTTGTTGTAAGGTCCTATTCCAACCACTTAGTGGTATCAGTCTGAGTCATGTAGATATCCAACAATAGAGAGGGACTTTCAAAAAATGAAGGTTCCTACTCTTGTCCTGTGTTAGCAAAAACTAAAATTCTGTGATTTTGATTTTATAATACATATCTTTTTGAATGTCCGTTGTTGCTAGAGAGTTTATACATGGGTATCTTCTGAGAGAAAAGGCTGGAGAGCTGATTTGGCAAGACCTTAACATGCCACACAGTTTGAAGAAACTTATTTCAGTACAACACATCTGTTCTTCATGTCTCAAATAATGCTTCTGAAGACCAAAGTCACAGCAGTACACTGCTTTCTGGCTTCATACCTGTTTGGAATTCTTCTTAGGGTGGAATATGTGTATATAGTTTTCATTTTCCTGGAGGACAGTGACGTTTAATGAATGAGAGTGCTTAGATCTAAGGATGAAGTTTTTCAAAGTTGCTGGTAAAAAAGTTTCACCTCGGTCGGTTCTTAGGCTGTTAGCCTAAATTCCCTACATTCGCTCCTCAAATCCCATGCTTTTGGGGAGATTTTGGCCAACACTAATCCCCATGGTTGTTTTCTTTCCCAGTTGTCACAGATGAGACCTTGAGCTTCATTCAGAAAAGCAGACGCCTCCTGGTTGTCCTAAGCCCCAACTACGTGCTCCAGGGAACCCAGGCCCTCCTGGAGCTCAAGGCTGGCCTAGAAAATATGGCCTCTCGGGGCAACATCAACGTCATTTTAGTGCAGTACAAAGCTGTGAAGGAGACGAAGGTGAAAGAGCTGAAGCGGGCTAAGACGGTGCTCACGGTCATTAAATGGAAAGGGGAAAAATCCAAGTATCCACAGGGCAGGTTCTGGAAGCAGCTGCAGGTGGCCATGCCAGTGAAGAGAAGTCCCAGGCGATCTAGCAGTGACGAGCAGGGTCTCTCCTATTCATCCTTGAAAAACGTATGAAAGGGACAATGAAATGGGTAAAAAGACCAAGGGGTACTTCAGGAAGGGTCTTCTCATTCTTTTTTCCCAGTTTATGGTTTCATAGGGAGAAAATAATTGTCTAAGCATCTACATTAAGATAAATCCAGTGTGACTATATGGCTGGCTGTTCTCTTTCCTCAGCCAAGATTAACATTTAGAATGATATTATCAACACTCGGTCACCAGACTCTGATGTCACTATGTTCTTTGCAGACAAAGACTTGGTTGATGTGAATTGCCCCTTTTGCATCATCCATCCCTGTTCTTATATGTCACTATTATTTTTGTTTAATCTTAACATATGGAGCAGTCTTTCTAATGGATTTAAAGATTCCTTTAAGATAAGTCATTTGTTGACAGAGTCATTATGAATTTCTGAAAAGTTTTCTTTTATTTTTATTCATCCATTGAAAAGATAACCTGGGCCTAAATTTTAGCTGAGGAAAATGAACTCTTTTGCCCATTCAGCGTTGTCAGCAAGACTGGCATTCACTTAGGGTGACACAAAGCAAGAGAACTAAAAATGTTACTTATAATCTATTTAAAGGGCTTACTTTTCTTCTCCTATACCACTCTTGGCCTCCATCTCAGGTAATTGATGTCATATTTGGTAAACTTGAAAAATATAAGTTTTGTTTTTACTACAGTAAATTACCGACTATCTGCAGGTAGACTCGCATTTTTCATTCCATCTCCATATCTCCCATCGGCCTTTTAGAGTTTGCAGGTGGCTCCATATTTGGTTCAGTCTGAGAGGAAACTTCTCCTAATGGAGTTAATAGACAGTAGGGTAACAAGAAAATGCTTTTAGGACAATTTTTGACTTGTGAAAAGAGCTCAGAACAGGATGTTTGGCAATTTGTCTTTTAATCTTAGCCTTGTTAATGTGACTACTAGGAAAGTGATTTCTCCTTACTTATTTATGTCTCTCCATTGTGAAGTGTGAAGGTTAGACTTAGTGACCTTGAGAGTTAGTATTAACATTCTAAGAGAATTAATTGTATTGCCTGTAATTTACTCTCTATTACAGGTAGTACAGTTGCTCCAAATAAGTCAGTCTGAAAGTCACTGTCAATAAAACTTGCTTTTGTTTTAAGTAATATTTTACTGTTCTTAAGACTTGGAAAACTAAGTGCAGAGTTTACAGCATGGTAAATCTCAATGTTACATGTAGATTTTATATATATGTATGTGTATATATATCTACACACCACAAATTATGTGTATGGATATATATACACATGTAATTAATGTAAACATTAATTACATGTGTGTGTATATATCCGCATGCACATGTATTATATATATGTGTGTGTATGTGTATGTGTGTGTGTGTGTGTATTACTTTAAAGATCCATTGATACAATATTACAAAACTGCTGGAACTCTTGTGCAGTTTTTAAATTATGTTTTTACTGTAATGCTTTTATGTCAGTGTTTTTTATACATTAATATTATTTGTTAACTCACAGCTCACAGAGTAGTACTTGTCATTAGTTCTTGCTTTCCCTAAGTTAATATAAATAACGTACTACTGCTACGGTTGATCTGGATTGCAATGGCATCTGTTGTGCACAGAGCTCCCATGGTCACTGCTAAGCAGTAGCCAGTCACCTAGCATTAGCTGATTTACTACTACATTCCCAGCATACACATTTAGAAACTAAGCTGTGTTAATCTTGGTGCTTAAGTATCTAGACTGTTGAGTGATAAAGGAAACAAATGTACTTATACATAAGTCTGGGTATCCTATGAAACACAATAATTCATAACTTAAGGAAGCCTTTTCCTAGTAGTATGAATGTTGATAAGTAATTCTAAAATTACCTCCTACATTTAAGTGTCCTTCATCAGTATTAAAGTCAATAATAAATCATTTCTCTATATAAGAGTTATTGATTATTTTAAATTGAAAAAATGGTTCACTTTTGAATTCTTGACTATGAAGCTATGATATGGATTCACTTTTGAATCTAATTTCTTTTAGCCTTATAAATGTTTTTTCTTATTACAAACCACAGTTATTCCCCCTATTAACCCTTCACTTACAAGACAGGGGAAACTTATTCCAGATAAGCTTTGAATATCAATTCTTGCATGAGCTTTAGGTAAATAGAGAATAGTCTCATCACCAAGGGGCCATTCTCTTGCTAATGCTGCATTTCTTTTGCACTTTTAGATTTTATATTTATCCCAAATGCTGTTGGGTGCCCCTAGAAACTCCTTGATTTTTTTTCCCTATTTATATTCCTGCCTTTGGTACTGAACTTTTCCAAATGCTATAATATAAAGCATAACAAATCTAGGTTATATGTCTCATTGTGAGAGAACTTTGTTTTTGGAACTATGTTCCAGAAGATGCCCAACACAGAACGTTTGAGGGAGATGGGGAAATATACCTGTAATTTAGACAGCAAGAACAAATCATGTCTCTAATTAAAAAAAAAAAAAACTTAATGGTTTTATATAAATGATATCATGACCTTTTGTACCCAGGTTAACAAAGAACTGTGATATATAGAGTGTCTAATTACAAAATCATATAAAATTTATTTCTTTTCTGTATTGTAACATAGATGATTCCTTAGGATTCTAATAAAAGAGCACTCCATTGTGTTGGGGAACAAAAACATCACTCCACTAGTTAATTACCTATTTTCTTTCCATATGTTTTAATGTTTTGAAATTATCTTTTTAATTTTATTCATGAACTTTTGTATTTTTCAGTTTTCATTTGATTTGTAAATTTACTTATTTTATAAATAAACCATTTATTTTCAGCTTTGAATTTTATTTTGTGCATGTGTTTTATGTCTTTATATTCACATTTGGGCCTAAGAAATGAGAATAAAAAGAATTAATAATTGTACTTATGCAAAGAAATGTAATAAGTTACATTAGTTAAGTTTCTTTCTGAGAGAAATCTGAGAAAAAATGGAAATTTCATATCAAGGTCATTTTTGTTACATGTGAGTAAAAGAGTTACTTAGGTAAAATGGATTGTCCCAGAATACTAGGACATATTTTATGTGTATGTGTGTGTGTTTGTGTGTATGTATGGAGAGAGACAGGCAGAAAGACAGACAGATAGAGAGGGAGAGAGAAAGGGAAGAAAAGAGAGAGAGAGAATGAGAGAGGAGAGAAGGGAGAGTGGAAAGAAAGATTATTTTAAAACAAAAACACAAACCTATTCCTTTTTGTTCAGCTTGGAACTTGGGTAGCTTACAGGAATCTTTTACCTTTGATAGGCTTTGATGCAATTCCAAGGCAGTTGCTTTGGAATGAGATAAAAAATTAATGCCCTGACTTTAGTTAATGAATTATCATTTGAATCAAAGAAATATTTCTCTCAAAAACTTTGAATAAATCAATGGTAAATATTTGAAAATTTTCTTTCTTTCTTGTTAAGTCCATAGTAACAGGGGTGCCTTCTTGCTTACAAAATCCTTATTTATTCATTTATTCAAAGAATATTTATTGAGTCCCCATAACATGCTCTGAACTGGTTAACTTAAAAAGATTTTTTTTTACTGTAGAATTTTCCTCTTGCAAATCAGTCCCCAAAGGGTAGACTTGGGATCAATGGATCAAAGTTACTAAGAAACAGATTTCTATTTAATTAGGAAAAAACTATAAAAAAGAGTTTAACACTAATTGAATTCACTACCTTTGGAGATAGTAGGTCCCCCATTACAAGCAGTGATTTGATGGATTCTCATTGAGATTTTATATATGGGCTTTCTGCATTGGATAACTGGTTATTAGTCTGAAGTTGCTTGTAATCCTGAGCACATTAAGTGACCTCCTAGAATATAGTAATGACTATTTAGAAGATTCAGTATCAGAAGTTTGAATATCATGTATCTGGCTATGTTATCATGTGTCTGGCTATCTGACCTTGTTAAAACTCTCAAGATATTTTCTTATGTCATTTACTGATGTCATTATCATCAAATAAATTCACAGTATGGCATGAGACATATTCAATAACTAGTCCACGTTAATTCTTTGCTTCTACCCAAACATCATAAAGTAAATTTAGCAATGGGTTAGGAGATCGAGTGTTTCAGTAGTAATATTTTAAACTGAATACACAGAATTTTTTAAACCTTATTAATCTTATAAATCCATATATTAAGGTGATGTTCTAAAGTTAGCATTAAGAATTGATGCAGATTCAAGAAATATTGGTCCATAAATTATTTTAATATTGTATTTACTAGACATTAAGTAATAATTTAATCAAAGTGATTTATTCCAATGTTTCCTGTGAGCTAGACATTTACATATAAGTATCTCTAATTTGTTTAACAGCCCTACAATTTGCTGTCATCATATACATTTTAGGGAACAATAAACTAAGACTCTAAGATAGTAAGATAAAAACAGAGATAAGTGGAGAGACCAAGATCCATCTTCCAGATTAAGTGCTCCCTTTCTGACTACACTTTAAGTTTTAAGAGAGAGAGAGAAAGAGCTAGAGGAGTGCTATTTTTTTATTTACCAATAACCTTGCCAAAGGAAAAAAAATTGCAGTCCTAGTTTTCTTCTAGGTGAACTCTAGGGAAATTGTGACTTTTAAAGGCAGTAGCATCCTTGAGTATTACTGGGCTCTCAATCAGAGAACATGACTTCAAAGCTAATTTAGTATCACACATGAAAACTCATCTCATTACTATATTGCCACAGCCCATTTTTTCAGCTAAACAGAATAAATGACCTAATTTATGACTTCCTCTCCAAATAATCTTTAGCATTAAAAATAATAACTCCCATCCTCAAATATGAAGTTTCGAAATACGGAAAGTATTAAAAGAATATGCCATAAAGAATGCAGATTTCTTTAAAGTATCAAGTGAAGATCCTTAGGTATATCCCAAACCCTATCTGAAAAACATCTTCTCCATTTATTCCTCAATGTCTAAAATTTCACTACTCATACCTATATTTAGCATTGCACTATTTTAATGGTAAATCATTCACTTTCTGGATGGGATATCAAAAGTCACTGGAAATCAAGTAAGGGGAAGAGGGTAGGAGGGGAAAGGCAAAAACCCACCTTATAGGTATAATTAACACTGTTCAGGTGATGTGCAGATTTATAGCCCTGATTCAAGCCATGTGTTGAAAAAAATCTGTACTCCCTTGGTATACTGAAGTGAAAATAAAATTAAACTAAATTTAAAAAAAAAGAAAAAGAGCAACATACTCTAAAAATATTTTTTAGAAGTTCTAGGACAGTGTTGTATTTTCAACAATGATATTCCCACTGGAAAGAACATACATTTTCCTGAAGCGACTATTGTGAAGAGAAACATACCACGTGCACACACACACCAATTTGCACAAATTCCCTTTGTTGATAAGCTAACCTGTTGTCTTAAAGCTATTTTACATTTCTCATGAACCAGGAAAAGCAGTAGATTTTCCACCCTCATATTCTCTGATTTATGAGAGGCAGTCTTCTTAAGATCCCAAGTAGGACTAGAGCGGACAAGAGAGTTATCAAAACATACCTGTACACACACAGGTTTAAAAATAAGTGAAAATTTAAATTTCTTTTGATATTGAAACAAAAACTCTCTCAAATATTTTGTACTCTTGTTAAAACTAATAAAAAAGTTCTCAAAAATTATGCACATCTCTCCCATATCCTTTCAAATTCATGTTAAATCCACTGAGTGAAATAATCTGGTAAGAAGCACAGCTTCCTCATTCCCTGTCAAAGTTTTAATGATTGAATTTTCTGCAAACTTTCAGCTTGCCTCCACAGGCTGAAAAGTCTCTCCATCACTCTTTCACCAAAGGTATAGGTGTTCAACCTCATACTCTGTCTTCAGCATGTATTTTCAGAGTCGTCAATGGCTCTGATTTACATATTTGGAATTATTTCCCTCAAAATATGACATATTTGAAGCTCTTACATTTCACAGTGAGTTAAGTACTGCATTTATTTGAAGAATTTCTCAGTGAGATCTATCCAAATCCATCTCAATAACTGTTAGAAATTGAATGATTTTTCAGAAATCTTAAGTACTTGACTGATTCTTATCCATTGTTATTGTTGCCTGTTTAATCACTTTTCAGGCCAATTTTCACACACACACACACACACAGAAACAAGTTGATAACAAGGTGAATAATGTGAACTGTCTGGTATCATGACCAAAAATGTTAAGTATCAAAGTGTATAACTGTGAGGATCTTAGGAGGTGGTAATTCCTACTGAGTTTTGCTAGTCTACGTTGGGAGTGTTCAGTCCTGTTCAGAATAAGTTCTCTTAGAAGACATATCTATAAACTGAATATTATTCAGAGGAAAATGATAAAAGTGGGGAGCAAACTTGAAACCATGTCATATATCCTGAAGTTATTTAATCCAATTCAGAGGTAAGAAGAAAATACAATGACATAATAATGTTTGCCAAATATTTCAAACATTTGAAGATGCTAGATCTAATCCACCAGTTAAAAGTTGCAAAGAAGATTTCAAAAGAAGAAATATTTTACAAACAGAGCTCAAATTATTAGTTAAATTAGTTGCTTTTGAGGGTGGTTAATATTTTTAGGGTGGTTCATTTAATTCCCCATCTGTGTGTGTGTGTGTGTGTGTGTGTGTGTGTTAAGGAAGGCTTTATGCAAGAAGGAGACTACTGAATGGGAGGTTTGCAGTAAGCAAGAGAAATTGAGCTCAACTCCCTTACCGTCCTGGAAGGTAACAAATCCTTAGGAACCATTGATAAGAATGGCATAGATAAGATTCCTTGACTGTGTCTTTAGCACTGAGATCTAAAAATTGCAAGTGTTTATTCAACATCTGTCCTTTGCAGAATGGACACTGATGAACTAGTATGTATATAAATTTTCACTATACACTATCCTATCTTTCCATTTTCCTATAGATACAGTGGAAGCAGTTTTTGATTTTATTCAGAGGAGCCGAAGGATGATTGTTGTCCTGAGCCCAGACTATGTAACAGAAAAAAGCATCAGCATGTTGGAGTTTAAACTGGGTGTCATGTGCCAGAATGCCATTTCCACCAAGCTCATTGTGGTTGAGTACCGTCCCCTTGAGCATCCACACCCAGGCATCCTTCAGCTGAAGGAGTCTGTGTCTTTTGTGAGCTGGAAGGGAGAAAAGTCTAAACATCCTGGCTCCAAATTCTGGAAAGCCTTGAGGTTGGCTCTTCCCCTGAGAAGTCTGAGTGCCAGTTCTGGCTGGAATGAGAGCTGCTCTTCCCAGTCTGACATCAGTCTGGACCACGTTCAGAGGAGGAGAAGTCGTTTGAAGGAGCCCCCAGAACTCCAGAGCTCAGGGAGGGCTGCAGGTTCCCCCCCAGCCCCAGGCACAATGTCCAAGCACCGAGGGAAGCCCTCTGCAGCCTGCCGCTGTTGTGTCACCTACTGTGAAGGAGAAAGCCACCTGAGAAGCAAGAGTCGAGCAGAGATTCATAACCAGCCCCAGTGGGAGACACACCTCTGTAAGCCTGTTCCCCAAGAGTCAGAAAATCAGTGGATACAGAATGGCACCAGATTGGAGCCCCCTGCTCCCCAGATCTCAGCCCTTGCTCTTCACCATTTCACGGATTTATCCAATAACAATGACTTTTATATCCTATAATTCCTGCTTGTGGTGGGTGGTGGCTTCTATCTCTAGAAACTCTCTTTATGTCATGAACCTGTGGGAGTAACTGATATTTTTATCATCTAATGGACTATCAGATTTTTGTCCCCTTTATTGATTTTTAAAAACTATTTATTTCTAGGAGACAAAAGACCTGAAGGACCAGAATCCAGAATTATTGCCTCTAATGGCCTCAGAAGAGCACACTCTTCTTGGGCCCTAGAAGGTCAGTATATGAAAGTTGCCTAAAGTCTGATCCCCTATCTTGCCCAGTGGTTTAAAACAGCTAAGAATTTAAATGTGTTTTCTTTGAGTTTGTTGATCAACCTCATGTTATAGGTCAGTCAGGTATACATGGGCTGTGAAGCTCACAGAGTGTAGACATCCCAAGGGAGCATCATGTGAAAGAGCTGGTTCTGGTGGAGCTGTAGGACTAAGCTCAGTAGAAAACCTACAGCCCATTTTTCCTCAAAGAATCAAATATACTCACCCAGGGATACATGGTGTTTTCTGTCTCACTGTAAACTAGTGTTCTCTAAACTGCCTAACATTGTTAGCATCAATAAAGTTATATTTTTATGTCATTTTATTTGTACTAACAAATTTTTAACTCTCTCTCTACCTTCTACCTATATGGGTTTTCTATTCATATATAGGGAGTATTCCATTTTAAGAAATTGATTTGGTTTTGGTACCAGGAAAGCTGAGTTGTCTTTTTTGTTTCTTTCTGATGTGTATTAGGAGAGATCTGGAAAATGATCAAAAGAGAGAAAGTGTTTTAAATGAAATGGAAGTTTATATAAGAACCTTATATTTTTAGAAATGACAGCTGAAAAATTCAGTATTATATGAGATTTAGGGTAGAGTTTTGTGCCTGAATTCCTTCTTCCCATTCAGGATTTTGAGGAGGGATAATAAATTCAAGTGCCTACAAGGATGACAAGGTACGAAAAAAGAGAAAAGGGGCTAAATATCAGCATAATATGCATGCTGTCCATCTAGTACCTGTGTGTATAGGGGTATAGGCACAAATAAGTATTTCTTTTCTGTGAGCATTTTCACACAATCACAAAAGACATGCAGCAATTGATTTTCAAGTCAGGTAGATAATAGAGATCACTGGGCCTGTAAGTAACTGAAGAGCATATATTTCTTAAAAAGGGGGTAGCCTCTACTCAGCTCCATTTGATTGTTGCCACTGATTGAGCCCAGTGTTCCCAGATTGTCAAGTTTTTTCACAAGAATCTATAAATCCAGATTTTTATGTGCATTCTCATTTATGAGATGGCTAAACTTAAGGAAAAAAAAAAAAAAGGTAAAGATCCAGAGATCCAGTGCAAACGCCTCCATGGGCCATGTTCAGCCTGAGGGCCACTAATTTGTAATTTCATAATTAAAGTTTCAGTTAAATACCATATGTACAAACAGGATTCAAGTGTCCATAGCAATACTGGAACTGAAGAACACAAGTTGGCTCTAAGGACATAATGGAGAATGTTTATTCTCTTCCCAGTGTGAAGACATCTGAGATCTTAGAATAGAGGAGATCTGACCTAACTCCTCTCTATTAGGGGAGAGAAAACTAGAATATAATGTACCTTCTATTTACTCAGTAGAGGTTCCCTGCCTGTTTACTGTAAGAAAATAAGAAGCACAAAGTCTGCTACTCTTGAACAGAAGCAGAACAAAAGGAATAAGAAACCATTCCCCTACATGACCAGTCGCCTTCAATATATCAGCCTTGGTTGGTAGTAAGCTATGGCTCAATGAGTGTCAGTCTCTCCTAGTCACCAACAGTGAATGAGGGGTGGGGAAAGAAAGTAGTTTAATCCCACTGCTCCTCTTGGAAAAAGACTGAGAAGATCCTTTCTCTGTTGAAATAAGAAACTAAACAATCCCTTCCTTCTCTGAAGATGGGGGAAAAGGGCCCTCCAGAGTAAATGTAACTCACCATGAAACCTGAAACTATAAAATGACAGACCACCCTACCTGAATACCCAGCAGAAAATAATTCTGCATAACCCAAAGGCCTTATCCTATACTACATCCCTTCTTGAAGAGTGTAAAGCCATCCTTGATGTAATAAATATGTTCAAGGATGTTAACTTGGAAGACAGACAGCAGTTTATCCAATCTGTTATCTGTTATCTCCAAATCTGTTAACAGTAGGGAATGTGAGTGACCCCAAATCCTAAGGAAGGAAAGGGCGCTCCATCTCAAAAACAGCCTTATTCCTTATTAGCACAGTGCCCCAAACTATAATACATCTTTTGAAACACTGAAATATTGCTTCTTTTTCATTTATTGATTATTTTATTACTGAAAAAAAATAACTGATGGCAAAGGCATAGAAAATTACACATATGAGCTCTTATTATGAATGAGTAGCTAGATAATTTTGGTGTTCTCAAAGCTAAATTTTGGTAAGTATCAATTTACTTTGACAGTATAAGTACAGTGTAAGCAGTATGAAGTCATAGTTGTTGGCGTTAGTTATATAGAGGTCAGAAAGACAATGAACTATACTTCTACTGTATGGAAAAAAGGCTCCAAGGCTATGTTATTATGCCTTGATCTGACATGCCATAATTGAATGTGATATTCAGTACCATATATTTCAATAAGGAGACTGATAATAAGAAAGAAATTTTTCTCATGGATCATGCATATCCATAACTGAAATGATAAGACTGCAGATTAAATGCATATGTCATTGCATAAAAAATATTGCCTACTCAGGAGCATGGGTTTTAAGTCAAATAGAGATGAACGTGAGTCCTGTTTCTTTCCTATCTGTTTGACCATGGTCTCTCTGAACCTCAATCTCTTGCTACCTAAAATGAAGATAATACTATTGACCTCACTGGGTGTGTGAGCATTAAATGATATATCACAAATTTATTTCATATCCATCATTTTTTTACACTCATAAAATGCCCAATAGCAGAATATAACAGGAACATATTATCCAGGTTAAGTGATTTTCCTAGTGACACTCAGCCAATTAGGATAGAGTTGGGCCTCTAACCCAGGATTCTGACACTTGATCCAATGCCAATTCTGGAACCATCCCTATAAGATTGAAGTGGAATTATTTCTATTACAAAACTACCTAGATGGAGCTATCTAATCTGGATCATAATACATTCAAATAAAAAAAGCAGTTAATGTAAACCCACACACAAAGCTAATTAAATATTATATTAAGTGTCTGATGTATCATCTGACCTTATCACATATATCATATGATATGTATATATTTATAAAACTTCATTTTTAAATATTATAACTTTTTTTAAACATTTGAAAAGTAGAATCATTTTTTGGTGTATTTTAGACTTTATGGCCATACTATAATTTTTCCCTCAAAATAACATAATTATTTATATTTTTTAGTAGAAAATAAAAATATATTCACCATTTATCTTGAAAAAAAATTTAATCTTTCAACAGATATGATAAATACTGTAAATTCCAGAATTACCTTCTATAATTATTAAAAACTCTAGTAAGAATATATTCTCTTCCTGATTGAAGATTTGAATGGTTCAGAAAATTAATGTTTTAGTTCAGAAAAAGCTATGAATAATAAATTGAACTAATTACAAAGATATGCACAAAAGGACAAACAGTTTCTATGGCATTGGTTTTACACTTTTGTGCATCTAAGCATAACTTGAGGGACATCTTACAATGACAATCCCAGGGCAGGCTCCTTCCCCAGAGGCGCTGATTCATTAGGTGCATTGGCATTATTTAGCAGTCTGCAGTTTTAAATTATGCCCTTAATAATTCAAATAAGGTATTCCATGGGTCAAACTAGGAAAATCACCACCTGTGAGAACTCTTTCAAATCCTTCCCATATTTTCTATATTATTGTTCAGGTGATAAGGTGTCAGAGCCTCAATTAGGGTTCTGTTCAAGCTTTTTCAAAGTGTATTCCTTGATGAATCCATAACGGACCCATTTGGAATTCATATTAAATTGTGTATTTCTTGACTCCACCTAAAATTAACTAAACAAGGGCAGATCTTACTTAGTTAATGTGGGGTGGTTCTGTGCTTGGAATAAACTTCCCAGGTGATGCTGAGGCATGAACAGATTAAGAACCATTAATTTTTATCTCTCTTTAACTCTTTTACCCTTGTAGGCTCTGATTTACTCCATCCAAGGACTACGAATCATCATTTTAACAAGGTGTTTGCAGGCAATAGATGAAAATGTAGGGCATGTTTAGCCCTTGAGGTTGCCTTAGCACAAGGAGATTGTTGAATAGAGTGGTCAGTAGAGTGTATTTATAATATATGAAATATCAAACACTGATGTTTGGAACCTGGTGGGGTTGCTGTAGTCATCGTATGTATTAATCAGAATAAGATAAGCTGTGTTCTGCTAAGAAATAACCCCAATATTTCAATAGTTTCATATAACAAAGCTTATTTCTTGTTTATGCCACATTTCCAGCTTAGGAGCTCACTTTTTTTAGCTTTGCCATCTGAAATGTGTGGCTTCCTGTTGTTCTGTGCTTCAGCTGAAATATGACACTCATTACTTTCACTTACAATTCATTAGTCAGAACTAGCTCCAAGGTATATAGTCATAGAAAATACTAAAAAATGTAGTCTTCCTGTGTCCCCAGAAAGAGAAAAGTGAAATGAACTTGGTCACCACATGGCATCACCTTTGTCTACGCATGAGATGAGAATGAGATATTGAGATAACCTGAAGAGGCAAGAGACCTTCCAACTGAGATTATGTCACATGCTTTGATCATGAACAATTAGAAGAACTCTGTTGCCAACATCGACCTCAGTTTGCCAAGGTATCAAGATAAAACAGCATGCAGAAAAGAGTAGACCTTGTTCATAAATGTTCCTGAAAGAAATGTTGTTCAAGGAATGCATAATAATCATCACAGCTTCCGGTTAGGAGGAATTAGGCTTAAAATTTTGGAGGTTATTGTATTTGGTTACTTTCCATTCAGTGGCTTTAGTTGGTTCTCTAAGAATGTAATGCTCAAACTATCTACAAATGAGCCATTTCACTTTGGATATCCAAGGAGCCTCAGAAGAATTGAAGACATTTAGAACACAGCAGAGCATGTAACACAGTCATTATAAAGCATCACTTGATCCATTTATCTGAAGAGCTGAATAGGGAATTCAAAATGAACATGCAAAAGCTCAAAGGAAGGAAGAGACAAATGCTAGTGTGAGTATTATGAAGTCTGCTGCAATCTGCTTTCTCTATGATTTGGATTCCCTGTTTGTATTAAAGATTTGAATTTTTATATGACTTCTCTGATGTGTGCAGAATCATTTGATCATGGGTAAAAGCTCTCTTCGGGTTGGTGAACATTAGTGCTTAATAAGTCTTGATCTACATTAGTAAGCTATAATGTTGAACAAAGAAAAGTTTTATGTCTTAGTGTAGCAAGGAGATTACTGACATACTCAAAATCCTTTAGAATATAATAAACAAAGTTTTTCTCTTAGAAAGTATAAACATTTACAAATATTTAAATAAAAAGTACAGCTCTTTGAAATGGGCTCATAGAAAAAAAAAGCAAAAGATTTCAAGCAAACTCTCACATCAGATCATGACTTATTTTTATCTTATCCCAGGTGATACAAATTTTAATACTCTAATGCTTTATTTGAAAAATTACAGAATTAAATAAAATCTTACATGCATTTATTTACTATTTATGATTTAAAGATATACATAACAACTTATTAATTTAACTTTTCTATTGTCAAAACTCTGTCACTTGCTTGCAATTAATTTATAATTTAGTACTATTTGAAACACCTTGAGCAAGTGGTTCTTAACCAGAATTGAACATCATCTCTTAAAAAATTGCACATACCTGGGGCCTACCCCAGACTATTAACTCTCTAAAATGTTTTAGATGTGTGCTACTGTGAAGGATAACTGCTTTAAGGACCTTTAAGATTTTTGCAAATATTTCAATGAGAACTTAATGATGCTATATTATAAATATAGATGAAAAAGTTAAAAATAAATCCTAATATTATAGACAATATTTTTTCTTAAAATGCAAAACTTAAAGCTCATTGCCAAATACTGTAACTGAATGCTTTATTTTCATAACTTAGTATGAAATTATATACACAAAATAGGAGAAAATAAAATAAGGAAAATGAAATACAGAAACAATCAATGCAGTCACTAAACTAAGTACCCAAAAGAGGCCATTACCTCCACATCATCAGTAATATTAAACAGGACAAAATATTTAAGATATAATGACTTTGTTATGTGCAAATATGACTATATGACTTCTAAGAAAAAACAGAAGACAAGGGGGAATTAAAAACTGTATTCACTCATTTTTAAATATGAGCAATTAATAAAAAGGAGATGTGTAAAAACTCTGCAGTATCAGATTAGATAGCTAAAATATGGATTGGGTGTTAGGGTTTGGGAAAAAAAGTTAGTCAGTCATTTCTATTATACTTTTATAACATATTTGACATAACATATTTCATTTATACTCTTCATATGGTATTAATATAAAAATATTAAATTAAAGTCAGAAGATGTGAATTGGAACACCAGTTCTTCTATTGACTGCATGACTTTCAGTAACATACTTTTACTTCTAACTTCTTAGTTTCCACATATATAAAATGGGAATAATATAATAACTACTTCATTGGATTGATGTAGGATAAAATTATACAATAAATGTTAATCTCAAAAACATATAAAACATATGCTTGGTATTATTTTTATTATGAAGATGTTTTATGAAAGAAATCTGGGGGAAATAAAGAGATCTAAGAGAAGTTCCTTAATCTGCTGAATAGTGGGGTACTTTCTAGAGCACATGGCCCAATTATAACCTTTCATACATAAAAATTAGGAAATAAAAAGTACAGTTTCATATTACTTTAAAATTTGAAGACTATAAAAAAGAACCATAGTCTCTGAAAAAGCAAAAAGTTTAAGAAAAAGTATTTTTGTATTGCTATGTAACAAATTGCCCTATGGAAGCTTAAAACAACAAATACTTATTACCTCACTGTTTCTGTGGGTCAGAAATTTGACAGAAGCTTAGCTGGGTGGTTCTTGCTCAAATTGACTAATGAAGAGGCTTTCAAACTACTAGCCGGTGCTGAGGATCTGCTACCAAGAGTTGGTACATTGAAATCGGCAGGAATCCTTGGGTCCCTGCCTTAGGGCTGCATTAGTATCCACAAGGCACATAAGCTGGCTTATATCAGAGCAAGCGATCCAAGAGATTAAGGAAGGAGGAAGCCACAGTGCCCCTTATGACCTAGTCTCCAAAGTGATGCATGATCACTTCTGCAACATTCTATTTGTTAAAAATGAATCCTTAAGTCCAGCCCAAATTCAAGAGCTGGGGAATTTCAGCTCCACTTTTTGAAGGGAAGGGTATCAAAGAATTTGTGCACATATTTTAAAGCCACATCAGTAACACAGACAAAGTTTTATTTTCCAGTGGAATTAACTGAGGGCCAGAAAAGGAAAGTGACTGGACCTTAGCCTTCCTAACTTCATCCCAAACCTGGATAGTGGTGCCACAACTCAAATAAGAGCTGTCTTGTTCTGGCTAGGACATTTCTTTTGCCTGGTCAGGGAAAACAGAAGGAAGGTTCTGGAAGCTGGAAAAGAATGAGATGGGTGTGGCTTCTTAGCCATGCCCTTGGTCTGCAGTCTAGGTACTGAAACATAACTTATTCTGGTTTCACCTCTAGAGAGATTGAAAGTGACCCTTTATGCTAAAAAGCAGTCACTGCAAAATGAAGGACAAGCAGGTACCTGCTTCCTCTGAAGTAACCCAGGTTTTTGTCTTAGCTCTGAACTAAAATGGTTATATATTAATAATCAAATCATTTTGTATCCCAGGTTTCTGAGCCCTCCAAATAGATTGAGATTAGATTACCAATTCTGTAGGATGTTGTAATTTTGGACTTCTTTGATTCACTGAAAAATGCTTAAATAACCCCTCCCCTTCCCACAGAAACACACCCACACACACACCACCCCACACACACTAGCACAGAGGATCTAGTGATATTGGCCAAAAAATTTACAAATTGTGAGACTTTCCAGAGAAATTGTAAATATACTTCTGTCTGTTTAGACCTAGTTCCTATAACACACATTTCTTACTTGTAAAGCTGAACAGCTAACTTCTGTTTTTCCTTATCTGTGTCCTGTCACTGTCTGGGCCTAGTAGATCTGAGAAGATACATTAAGTTGACATGGATCTTATTTATATTTTAACTATTCTGCTTCCAGTTTCTCTAGACCAATTTGAATCTCAAAGTCCAAGGTAACTAGTTTGTAAATTAGATTGAAGAAGAAATGTTACCTTTTTTCTTCTTGAAAGCCTATATCCTTATCTCTTACCCATACAAACCACTAGCGAATTTTCTGTTTTATGTGTCCATATATTTCATAATACCAAAACATGAAGCCTTGTTTTGAAATTATATAAACTACAACATTCCAAGAGTTAGGAGATCTGAGTTCTAATCCAGACTTTCATTCCTTTGTTATAGGACCTTGAGCAAACCACTAATTATGACATAGTTACCCAACAGTATAATTCACAGATCACTATGTGCTTTTCCATCTTTGATATTCTAGGAGTAAATGTAAAAATAGTAAAATAAAACTTTTCTGTGTGTTTCAAGGCACGATCCATGACTCTTTTCAAGTAGTCCAAAATCAGGGAGCCAAAGAGTTTCGCATTCCCCATAAGTGAATAAAATGCTAGTTGAGTTGCATAAAGTCAACCTGAATCTCAGTCAATATCTCCTCTTTCCCACTTATTGTAAGTCTATTGCTTGTCCAAAAAAGTCTTTGACAATTCTTTTCTCTTACATCTTCCCAATAATCCCAAGGACTTAAACCACATGTACACTACCATTCTTTTTCCTGAAAATGCCATATGCTTATATGACCCCTGTGCTTTCGCTAAAGTTAGTTCTTCTGCCTGGAATGCCTGCTCCTTTACTGCTCCACATAAGAGCTCTTACAATGTTTCAAGTTCAGCACAAATGTTTTCAATGATGTGAAACTTTCTGCAGGCAGAGTTGGATGTTTCTTCCCCTGTACTTATACCATTCATAATATTTGATATTAAATTATAAATTTCAATATATCTGCTTCACCTGCTATCCTGTAAGCTCCCATGAAGAGACACTATATACCGGATTTCTAATTTGAGTGCTTAACATGATTATTAGTACATAACAATGTTTGCATTAATGTTTTTTTAAATAAATTAATTACCATAACCACCATCATTGGGAACTAAGTAATACAACTTTGCGTCATTCATTCTTTCATCTCCCCACCACCACATATGCAGTGTTTTATCAAAGGCATAATTTTAGGCTTTTGCCCTTCACCATATAAAATGAATTTCAATATTTGAATCTGGAGGCCTCCAGCACCACATCCAGTACCGCTAAATTTGACCCTTGGCATTACTTCAGGACAGATGGTCCATGACCAAGAAGGGGTGAAAAGAGCCCCAGCTGTGCCATGCCTGACCTGCTGCCACTCTCACATTAAGGACTCTCATCCCTGTTCCTCTCTATCTGCAATAGCAGCTGATGCAGGAATCAGCATCATGTTCATTGGCAGATGTTCTGGTTCTGATCTTGCTATTAAACAGCCTCAAAGGACAAGCTATTAAGCTGTGATAAATACTCTCTACCTACAGTGTACTATAGAATATCTCATGCTAATGAATTCAAGCAGGAAAAAAAAGACTGTTTATTGTTTTAAAATCTGTATGATATTGGAAAAATAAAATAAAGTGCTGCATTGATTTAGGTACTGTTGGTAATTAAGAGATCAGTTCTTCCAAACACTGTATAATATACATTGTCCTCTACAGGTCAGTAAATTCCTACATGATGACGCATCTTGCAGCCCTCCTCCCCTCGCTCATCACCACTGCTGCGGTTCAGGACTCATCATCTCTCATGACAGCTTTCTAGCTTTCCTTAATGACTCCAATCTTCTTTCTCCAAACTCTGTATAAGCATCATCAAATCACTCTTTCTGGAATACAACTGTGACCATGACACTTCAATTCACAAAGGCTATGCATCACCTCACTTCCTACAATATAGATTTGTTTTGGTTTGTTTTGTTTTGAATTTAGGACACTCCATTCTCTAGCCTCAACCTATCTTCAGAAACTTACTTTTGCTTCCAAATATGCATTCAACACTCCAGTATAACTAAAAGACTTAGTGTTTCTTAAGTACTTTTTTTTTTTTTTT